GTTGATCGCATGTTTTATAATAGCACCTTATCTGATGTGTTAGACGTGATTAGGTCGCTTACATAGCAAGTTACGTTCCCTCTTTCCATATAAGTCTTTGACACAATATATTTTTTAGTATCAAGTCGCTGCGAAAGCAAACGTGACGGACAGCAAAAAAAAATTCGCTTCATGTCAAATTTTATCATAATTGTTTTTTTAATATTTTTATTTCCTTTAATAGAATCTAACTTGCTTGATATCAAACCTGTTATGCTAACGCTATTGTTGCGTTTTAAAAATTATGACGATGTTGAACAGGTACGCGTATTACGCTAAGAGGGAAGTGGGGAGGAAATATTTAAAAGCTTCAAAATATTTTGCATTTTTTTGTTTACTTTAATGCGAAATTATTTGCGACTTGAGCACGTTTTCGTCACAATGAAAAATCTCACGTAGTCCTAACCACTGTTCAGGATTTAAAATGATATTTTCTTTCTACATTGAAAAACATTTCACGGCTGGGCTCGACATGAAATGTAAATATAATGTAAATGTTTATCTCTTCAAAAATGTTTCTCATTTTTTTTTTTTTTCTTTTCTTGCTAAAAAACATCAAATGATTCGAAATATAAAAAGAAAAAATGAAAATGGGATCCTTTCACCTTTTACTCTCAAAAGCGAAAGAAGACGGCGAAGAAGAAGATGCTTATGTTGCCAAAGGCGACATTTTTGTTACATGTGAAAATGATTTGTTGTTGTCAGTGCCAATAAATTGAATCAGCATTGAATCCATAAATCAGCAGCTTTTTTCCATTTCGTTAATAAATGCAATTTACTTCGATTTATTATGGCAAAGAGGCGAACTGAAAGGAAATATTGTCCTTGTTTTTGCTTTTACTGACAGCATGCAATTTAATGTTATTTTCTTGAAAAGTTTGCACAGATCGACAGGTTTATGCATATGTTTATGTTTTAGCAAAATTTAAGGTGCGTTTAATTTATTTATTATGGGATTTTCTCATAATATTGTTGTTCTTTTTTCTTCTGTTTTTATTAAATGCTATTTGGGTGGGGTTCCCTTCGTTGCTGCGGTCTTTTTTTTTTTTTATATATATGTGTAGAAAAAATCAACTATCATTCTTAATATTTTTTCCCTTGTTTTTTTTTATTCTAATAATTTGCTTTGTTAAACAATATTTTTGTTTAGATTGATTGTTGGTTTCTTATATTGCGTTTATGGAGTTTTTTCAGCAAAACGTAAATAAATTCTTCTTTCAATTTTAAATTCATGTTACTAAACGAGATACATGTACGCCAATTGGAGAATTTCTGCAATTTCTGGCAGAAGAACCGAATAAATGATGCAAGAAAGCCTCTTTAAAAATCCGGTTTTCATCATTAGAAGAGTTGCGTAGAATGAATGTATCAATACTTAATAGCCGGGAAATGTGCGTAATCTAGCATTGATTAATTCTAGTCGTATTATCTTTAAGGCATGGAAGTAACCGTCCGATTACGTTGGAGCAGCCCATAGTACCCCTTTCTGTTTACCGTTCCGTTCCAATTCTACTACTATTTAGGTGGGATCATTCCGGCCTTTATCTCTGTCTATGCCATTTTCTTTAACTTGGGCTAAAATCCTTTTCTCATATTACTTTCGTATATAACCCATTTCCCATTGCTCTTTATCAATGCAAGAGCGACTCACGAGTGCAAACTCACGTTGCGCTATCAATCCAAGAGCGTTATAATCCCAACTATGCAATATAGGGGTCAGGATGCCCTACCGGATAAGTCGCATGCTCAAACAATAGTCATAAGCATTTCTCGAAGCGTACCGAAGATCGAAGTGCCAGCGGCTGAGTATCTGGGCGTTGTCTACGGCCCTTTGGAAATATCGTGGTGGACGCTCATATCGCGTGGACGCCAAATAATTATAAGTGTTGGATTGACCTCGCATTGCCCAGAGAGGATAATTTGGACCATAAACAATCTCCCATATCTGGTCGTCCAGCTTTGACAAAGGCCCTCTAAACCAGGTGGGACAGTGGGATTGGGAAGCGTAAGCTGTCGCTTGGGCGTAACTCATAAGTTGAGGGGTTTCGTCTGCTTGAATTTATTCGACAAGTGTTAAACTCGAAGTGTGGTGTTAAATAGGCCTTGAATCTGCCCAGAGTTGCAATAAAAGTGCTCTGTACTCGCTTTATTACTATTACTTTTGCTTAGATCCAGATGTTCTTCGAGTTAAATTTTTTCTACCTGACTCATCTAAAGCTTCCACACCTCACACGCTTATTTTCTGTGTACGTATATGTAGAAATTTTGCTTATGAACTCGAGGTAAGTTTTGCCTTTAAATTGCACTAGAGGCTGTAGGCCACTACCTCTCAACTTCTTTCCAAGTCCTCATATCTTTCTAACCGTCACCGTGTTACACGAGATGAGGACACTTCCTGAGTGATATGGACACGAATTAATCGAATCTGCTTACTCAAAACGAAATTACTCCTTATCAATGAACAGAATGACATAAGCAAAAACTACTTCGATATCTTGGCTATACTTTTTTCATTTAATATCATACAATTACTGTTATTGTTAGGTACTTTCCTTTCGCAAGCAGCTTTATCTTACTTCAATGCAATCCAATAACGATGACAAATTGAGCAAACAAATTCTAATTTATCTTGAAATTTACAAATTCTATCTGTCTTTATATTTCGTTCATCATATGAAATAAGTAATATGAACTGCAATGTAAACAATAGGAAAGCAAGCACTGTCAGTATTATATTCAACTTTGACGTGCAAAATAATTAATATATAAAATTCATATGTAGTACATAACATATATCAAAAATTTTTATTTTGTTACCGTCTCCTCATATAATTTACACGCGTCATATTCTTTTCTCTCTATCTCTGATGCTTCTGAGCGAAGAGTGAAAAAACTTACAAAGACAACTATAAAAAAAAAAAGAAGAAATAATCTTAACTGGTCCATTTATGTATATAAAAAAAATAAAAAATAAAAATAAATAAATAAATAAAGGTAAGTTTAACGAACTAGTTGCCAGAACCAGTTTTAAACTCTATGAAACTTTAAAGAAATCAACAAACAAAAATGTGGCAAATATTTTGGTACAGTTTGCCGGGCATAAGATTCCTTATGTGAAAAATGAGGTAAGAATTCCTTCACTTTAGCGGAATTTTACCTGTTGGTAAAAATATTAAAAAAAAAAAAAGAAAGAAAACAATGCAAAAATTTTTTTTTTCTAGAAATTGTTCATCGCATTTAAAATCGTCGCCACACAAATAAAACTTAGTAAAACCGAAAATGCCTTAAAGGTTACAATTAACAAGCATGATCTCATAACAATTTAAAATAGTTACACTACGTATTTCAGTGTGTGTTTAGTGTGAAGTAAAGTGTTGTTTAATGCTCTTTTATTAATAATTTTTCATTCTACATTTATAATTCATTCATTAAAAAAATGTTGGAGGGTTTTTTTACATAATTATAATCACCTGACAGTAAAAGCAGTATTGTCGAAAGCTGCAATGAATACAAAAAGCGAAAAAAAAAAAAAAAGAATGAAAAAGTGTATTAAGTGTAAACTACTTAATAGTTGTTTTTGTTTATTATTCATGGTATTCATGGTTTTAAATGTGAATTTAAGTAAAGCCGGCTTTAATAGGTTTAAGTTAGTTAAAGTTTCGATCAAGACACGCAATGACGATTCTTCGGGTTAAAGGTTTTAATTGTGTATGCAAATGAATAAACAGCATTCCCTGACCTCAAAATCGAAATTTTTTATTTATTTATTTTTTTTTAATTTTAATTACAAGCAGAAGTTGCCTTTTGCGACATTAAATGATTAACTCAACTCAATTTTTTTAATTTTTTTATTATAATTAATTTCAATTAATACTTGTTAAAAAAGGAAGGAAAACAACAACAAAACAAAATAAACATAACTAAATTATATAAAAAGGAACGAGAACTTCATGCTCATGTATAAGAAGAATTGTGGACATGCAAAGCTAATGTTATAAATACTTGCCAATAAGATTACGAGATCTTTTTTCAAAATGCGGTTTAAGTGAACACAACAAGGCTTGTTATAGGAATGGAAGCACGGCTCAGAGAAAAAATAAGTAGTCTGATGCTTAGAAATCGACTTATACCGCTTTATAGCGTATTGTTGCCCTTTCTTCTACGACAATTATCAGCACAATTATGTTAGTTGTTGTTCGAGAGTTGTGCACCGTGGGTTTAAGCCTTCACGGCAGCACCTAGAGACATCTGTGATACATAACTACCATGGGGTTAAACCTTCACGGTAGTGTACCCACGTTAAACCCTCAGAGACATCTGTGATACATAACTTAATATATCATAATTTTTGTATTCATTCATATACATGCACACTTTGCACTTTTTTTTTTTAACTATCTACTTAAAGCAATACTTTTTATTATTAATATCAATATTGACCTAAATGAAATAAATTATGCTAGCGTAAGTATTATCTATAAAAACGATTGCAATACTTTAATGTAAAAGTTATGTTTTTTTTATAAAATAAATGTTGTTGCACTCAGATTGCTGACTTGCTTCTCTTCTCCTTAATATATTGGGTGGGCCGCAATGTTCGTGAAATTTAAAAACTCAATCGAAAAAATAGTCGCGTTCTCTACGTAAACAAATGCAAATGTATTTTTCAATTTCATTCATATCTAAATTGTTCCATCTTAACACATTCTCTCCTGCCCATCAAAGCAGGTCAGAGCGCCTTTTTCCATCACGTTCTTATAAAAACTGGAAAATGCTTTGTTGTTTGCGGATATCGTTTATCCGCTTATCTGCGACCTATTAAAATAGCCAAAACAGAAGCCTAGATTAACCCACTTTTGCCGTTGATTATCCATCCAATTAAAATATTTTAACCAGTTTTCACGCTTTACATTTTTCTAAACTCGACTTAAACACTAGCAGTGCAGCCTTGTTATACTTACCCTTCTGATAATTATTCGAATATTGATGTTTATTGTATTGTAGATAACCTGAAATTAAAACATTAAAAATATTATCATAATGTGATGCTAAAATGTAGTCAAATTAAAACAAATAATTTTGCTAATGCATATTCGATCATATATCGCAATGCCCTACTTTGGCTCTGGGTGAAAAATTCTCCAAGGCTATTTCTGTAATGAACCTGGACTTACTTATAGCTCGATCAAGCAAATGATCAATTAATTTAAGAAATTTTAAGATGAACCACATGTCCGCTCGTCTACAAAATGGTCTTAAGTTTTGGAAATTTTGACGAGTCTGCGAAAATCAAAGCATATAGCTTCCCCAAAATAGTAGCAAGACCAACTATCCCAATAAGTTTTGCCAAAAAGAGAGTAGCTTTCATTATAATTTTTGCCTTCAGTGTATGAAGAGATCAAGAAAGATAGACAATTTTCAAGAGGAAATCACTTAAGAAAATTTATTGATCGAAATATTTGGCATCGCCTTAAGCCCAATATAACTTTCATTGTCGTGCCGAAAAATTGATGGTGTTGATGAAGACGATGATGACATTGTGATGTCATTATCGCAAAATATGTATATTGTGGTTGTTTTACACAATAATTACTTTTTAGGGGAGAGTTTGAAAAATACCCTCCTTTTTAAACTTTACAATAGCAAGAGCAGTGCAATGTAAGATTGTGTAAGGACAGGTCTTTCAAGAGTTAGATTGTCTTATTCAGTCTTCTTCAAACCCAAAATGTCGGTGTTCGCAGGTTCAAATCTCAGTGCAGTTTTATCTTAGTTGGTCGTAATTATAATGAGTACTTGGTCCTTCACTAGACTACGGACACTCCCGTCCTTTATCCCATCCTTTACTTCTTTCTGATCACCGCGCTACACATTTAGGAAACATTCTTTAAATGCTTAACCTACGGCCAAACTCTGTCCCTTCGTTCTTTTTCCCACTTCTTCTGGACCACCAAACCTACGTGTCCTACGTATAGGGGACATCTTTTGAGTGAATGGTCGTATTTAAAAAAAAAAAAAAAAAAAATTAAAAAAAATACGTTATAAGAACTTTTTTTAATACATTTCTAAGGTATTCACCAAGAAATTTTTATTACTACATGAGTAGTCTGCAAAAAACCAAGTAAGGAGGTGATATTCGACGAGGAGCGAATCTCGCACACCCGCCACTGTGCTTTTCGTATTCTCCTCTCGTAAGTTCTTTTATTTGACACCGATATCGCTGGTGTTATTATGAAAGAACTAATCCACCATATCGCGGTGCCTACCGTATTCCTTTCCGAATTAACCCATTTTTAGGCTGATCTAATCTATCTTCATTTGAGGAATGTGCAAAGTAGCTTTAAACACTCTGCCTTATTTTCTATTGCTTAGGAAATTATTTCTTCTTGTATATTGTTCGTATTGGTTTCAATTAACAGATTAAGAATCACTGAGATAAAGTTTATTCACTTTCGAATGTACATTTTATAAAACGTTTAAAGCATCCTTCATGGGCATGCAAACGTAATAATGGATTCAATTTATTGGTATTTATTATACAAAAAGCAACCCTTCATGTCGTTTACCACATAAAAGCATTATGTGCAACGGATTTGAAGTTCTTACGAGTACCACTAGCCACAGTATATTAATTTTATCATTTCGTTTGCAGAAATACGCTGAACGAAACCAATAAGGAATGAATATTTGTGATCAGACCGACAAACAGACCCTAGACCTAGAGTGAGTGGGTCTTTTCTCCTCTTATGGCAACGAATTTTCCAATCGAAAAGTAATGCTCGGCTTCACTTAGCATAGATCAAAAGATTAAATTTGAATGTAGACGCGATATGTCCACATATTTAGCAGAGATTAGCTGAAAATTTCATATTATTGCTGTCAATAACATGCACATAATTACGTATAACGTTCTCGCAATTATTTATTGGACACGTTATGTTTTAAGGAAAATATTTCGTGTATACCGTAAGTATGGTAGAGCGATTAAAGCGATTGGAAGCGCTCATTATTGACACCAGATTTTTTCATTAAATCGATTAAAAATTTTACTAAAAGTTACCCAATGCTGGCGTTAACTTTTGTCTTTAGTCATGTACAATAAACGCTTATCTTAATTTTATACAAAAATTATCTTAAACCATCAACTAACATATCCGCCATTATATGAAAGATGAGTTAGTTTCGCACAGATACGTGAAATGAAAGGTAAACATTCCAATATCAAGCCTATCGTAAATAAAACAAGTAAGAAAATTACATTTACTTGTAGCCGAATCTTCCAAGTTACCTCAAAAAAAAAAAAAAAATTAAAATCCCGAAGAGAATGAAATTTGGATTTTTTTCGCAAAAGTTCTTTGGAATATATGTGAAAATTGTTATCTTTGTATGTGGTAGAGTTTGCGAGTGACAAACCGAAATGTTTCTAACTCATGTTGTATCGTAGGCGCATCCCTTGACCGATAGGACCTATTTTCAATACCAAAAGCTTTCAATGCTTTTATTAATCTTATTAGCAGCAGAACGTTAGCCACAATAATTACATAGAAGGGCTTTGATCGATTTAGAATTCAAAATTTGATAATAAGGCGTCCTTCTGCTGGTGCTGCAAACCTTTTGACAAAACAAATGTACCTTCACTACCCGGTTAAGTGTATAAAAATACCAGAATTATGCGGGTGATCGGTATGGTAAACCTTCGTAAACTTATCAATGTTTTATTTTACCATTTTTATGAATGGTTTTGAGTTTCAGCTGTGAATTACTTCACTGTGGGTTTCACCTTTATTTGATAAACAAAAATATGTTTTTTTGTTTTTAATTGTTATCGCTTAGTAGAGCTAATGCCCTCAGTTGATTTGAAAGGGATTGGTTAACCCTCGGATCACAATATATCATTGAGTCACGTTTGAACTTTAAATTTTAGTTATTTTTAATTACTATGCATTGCGTTTCCAAAAAGTATATAATCATTACATAACTACTTTGATGCATAGTTTGTTTAGATAATATATAAATGAAATTAAATTTCAAATAAAAACATATTAATTATTCTCGTAATTCGTCTGAATGATTGAAAGTCACAGCGCGGTATGATCCGTTATAAAAAAAATTGATTCGATTATGGTTAAGGTGTCCTTAAGAGTTGGCAAAGAAATAAACATTCATACAAAGTATGTAAAGAGAAGGCGTAGTGTTTTTGACTTTCAAGCTACTGATTGGTGAGAGGCTAACTGATCTTGTTTGTTGTGGAGTTTTCGTCGTCAAACTGTTCGTAATAGCAAACCATGATTTGTGCTTTCGTCTTGTGAATAATAAAATAGTTTGGGGAAAAATTATTAAGAGAATTTTTATCGTTTGTTTTTCTTATTCAGTTTCCCTTTATTCAAACTGAATGTTACTTTAAGTAAGGATCAATATTATTCACTTCTCAGAAAGCTTCATAACTCCTCCTTCGAGGAGTTTTCGTTGAAAAACATCTCGCTATCAATGGAGCTTTCCAGGGAGCAAAACGGACGGTAATCGAACGGGCAAAAGCGCGAGCTGCATAGCAAATGTTTTAGAACTGCTTAGCCAAGCTTTCTCAGTTATTACTAGATCACCAAGGGCTGGTACGATCTTATTTTTTATTTATTGCTATAATAGAAGAAAGCCATCATTCTTTTAATCAATTGCGGCAAGCTTCAACTGCTTTGTTTACTGCAAGTTGCTTAATCTCACGATTATCGATCTTCATCTGCTATTAGTTGCCACAAAAATTTTAACGCCTTTGCAGAAAAGCAAACAATAATGATGCAGTTCCCCCTTGAACTAAGCAAAAACAGTTTTCCATACTCGTTCACTTCCGCGTTCTGCGTGATAGATAAGTTCATTGAATTTTTTGAATGCTTCGAATTGCAGCATAGACCAGAAAGCTTTAATTACTCATGTACTCTGTTTAAACGATATCGTTTAGGTAAAATTGTTAACTGTTAGATACATTCAATTTGCATATGAAAGTTAGTGGCGTGCTGCGCAATCAGTATAGAACAACTTGTTCTCTTTTTTTTTGTTTTTGTTTTATTGCCGGCAGTTTTCTAATTAAACAATCATTACAACCAAACAATTATATTTTTATTTTTTCGCTCGTCTATGGATGTGTTTCTGAATTATAAATCTTTTTGCACAAATAAAATTTTATTATTTTTTTCAACGCCATATCGATTGAAAAATTTTATACAAGGAAGCAACAATGAACTTACAAATATATTAATAATACGAAAAATTCATTAAATGTTTATAGAAATTTGTTTGCAATGCGCAATAAAATTCAATTACTTTTCTCTCTTGTTTTTTTTTTTTTTTTTTTTTCTTATTTACAGCTTGACTGAATAAATGAATCATAAAGCTGAAGCTTTTACGATGCTGTTCAAGTTCACTGAAACACAGAAAAAAAACAAAAAAATTAAAAGAGAACCGAGAACGAGAATGAGAATGAGAAAAAAAACAAAGACATAAAAAAATTTAACTCGTAAAAAATCTTGCTATACTTACCCCTTTTTTTGCGTTTTTTATTTTTCTAATAAATTGTTGCCCTGTCCGGCGTAATAGGAAGCATAAATGTCTTACCCTATAGCTGTGAGTTGAGAAGCAAAGAAATTATATCGCATATAAGATACTGCAATAAGATACACACGCGCGCAGTTTAGGTGATACACTTCGAACGTTTAAACTGCAATATTGCAGTTTATTGAATAAGTGCCGGGAACTGATAGGAATGCTTAACTTCGCGAGAGAACACAATAGCGCTGACTATGTTAAACTTATGCAAAGGTTTACTTACTTTGCTAGTATCATGCCGTTAATTTTTAGATGATATTAAATATTACATATTGTAGCATTGCTTTCCGCTGACAGCTGATATTGATCTAGAATCCAGTAAGAGAGCAGCGTATATATCGGTTCAATTGGAAGTTGATCGCGCTAGACGTTCTTTCTAAGGCAAATATGACTTTCTTATTTGTTTTGCGATGATTTCAATGACAAACTTTTTCTGCTTCCAAGCTTCAAGACTACGCTAGCGGTATAATGAGAACCATAACCTGCAATTTTATCTTTTGCACCCGTTATCGAGGCATTGCGGTGTTTGCGTTTTATGAAAATGTTTGTAATACCTAAGAGGAGGCTTCAGAGTCCCTTACATAAATTTCCTAAAGTATATCTATTGTTGAGCAGCATCAAAATCTGAATCGATCTAATCATGTCCCTCATGTCCAACTATGTAATGTCTCAGGTAAACATTGATCGTAAGAATTAAAAAATATTTGCTTCAAGTTTAGCAAGAGGAACATCTTGCAGACTGGTTGGAATTGGCGACGATCGAAGGACCCGCCTACAGTATAACATGAGCTAAGAACCCATCTACTTTGACAATCAAGAAAAACAGTTCTTGTTGATTTCTACTAAAGCACCGCAGACACAGCGACAGGATATTTTCACGTATTTTCTGTGAATGGATTCACCCTGACCCTGTATCCACCTGACCACCACATATCATTGAGTTTTCACTTTTTTGTCAAAAGGAGACTATGTCAGAAGGAGACTTCAAGGACCACATGAAGTACATAAGTTTTCATATCGAATTCGAAATTTACCCAAGTATGTCCATCTGCCCATACGAATAATATTGATAGTAAATATTCTTTCGACCGCAAAAAAGAAGATTTCGCATTCAAGTTTGTCAGGAACATTGAAAGTACATGCAAACTCACTGCTATGGCAAAATGGGGCAAGGACATGCCTACTGTGCAATATAGACTGACATCATATTTATCTTGTTGACCCTGCTCATAAACTACAATAGATGAATGATAGCAATTTACAGGTAAATGTTGCACAGATGGAAAAAATCAGCCACGCCTACTCAATATTATAAAGTATAAAAATTTGGTTACTTATTTTTTATTTTTTTTTTGTGGTGACTGTAAAAGATTTGATCACAGCCTTCTACAATTTTCTTTACAACGGTTCTAATTCCGTGCGTATGCAAGAACGGTAATCGAGAAAATTGAAGGTTTTAAAAACCTTGTGTTTGTGGCATATAATGTCGGTAATTGCATGCCTCTTGATTTCTCGCTGACTGAATGAAAATAAGAACACGAAAGTTATTCTCGCGAAATTACAGTCACATGCACAAGTGTCCACAAGCATCATAAACATTTTCTGCGTGAATTAATCGTCCTTTTCAATTTAAAGTTTTTATTTCTCTAAAAATAATTAGTGTGTGTAATAAATTGTGTCATACAAAATTGTTCTTCAATACAAACTAATATCGGAATTTTTGAATTTTAATTATTTGTTTTTCAGATTCATTATAGAATAAACTTTAACACTGAATTGTTCATTCTTTTGCTGTAAGTGAAATCATATAAAACGAAACAACAACTTTGCGTAAATAACAATAAAATTATTAAACACTATCAATTACAATGCACCAGGCAATGAAGTGTAAACGAACGCTGATGAGATAGCACATTACAAAACCAACATTAAAATATTTTATCTTATCCAATACTGCAGACCTTTACAAATATATGACAATAGGAATCCGGTGCTTGGACACTAGAAAGGGGAGATATATTAACTTTCTTATTCCATTTGATGCATTGAAAAATGAAGTCCTAAATACATGTTAAAAAAAAAAAAAACGCGACTTTTTCAACAGAATTAACTATGTCCGTCCCTCTCTCTGATATTTTTTAATAACTTTCGCGAAATGCTAAAAACTATCGACGCCAGGTTTTTTTTTTTTAAATATTATAACTTTGCAACAGGTTTTCTGCTTACATGACCAATATCAGGAATCGATATGTTAACAATATAATCAATCCTTCTCATTCACTAGCTTTTCTAAGGATTTTGATGATTTTTGTTGAAGGAAAAACTAACATATCTCCAACAGATTAATTTATAAGCGCCAATGAAAACATACATACTTACAGTTTAAGCATTACGGAAATCAATTAAACGTTTTCGGGTAAAATCAATTACTGAAACTTTCGAGGGGCCTTTCGATACCTCTTTAGCGAGTAAATTCTAGCGAAACCTTCTACTCCCTACTTTAATAAACTATATCGGTCTAAGATTGTCTAACCGTCTGTCCATCCGTCCGTCCGTTCGTCGCCCACCTTATTATCTTATGTCAATCCATGTGTTTTGGTTTGGAAGAAAAATGGCTGGAATCGGACCACTCATATTACGCTTGGTTACGAATAGTCGTGATAAGTAAAAATAAGAAAACAAAGCTGCAAGTACAAAGGGATCGCGGGCCTCGAATAACTCGCCATGAGTAAACACATCAAGTGCCTATGATTCGTTTCAACAGCCAAATTTTTTTTTTTTTTGCTTTTTTATTTTATTTTCCTTTTTCATTAACAGCAATGTTATTGAAATAGTTATGAAAGAAAGCTACGTATATAATATACGCGCGCATATGTATTTATGTTAATTTTTCAATTTTTGTACGATTGTTTTATAAAAAGCAAAGCGATTAAATTCTCAGCGAGCGACCAGGGAAACAGAAAATTTACGAAAGGGCATAGCTTATGAACAGATTTCCATAATATATGCAATTTTCTTTTATGGATTGAATTGAGTGCTGCGACTGTTACAAAAGAAAGAAACGGCATTTTTGCATTTTTTTCATGAACTTAATGAACTTGAATTTCTATGGCTTAAAAAGCTTCTTTTTTTTTCTTCTTTTTTAATATATGGTACACAATAATAAAAATATGCTTTCTTTCTTTCACTCTGTTCTATTATTTTTTTAGGCTAGTTAAAAAAAAAAAAAAAAAAAAAGAAAAGCATGTTCTAAAAAATACTCTTAATAAAACGTAAGCTACTTATGAACAGTCGTCTATGGGCTATTTTATGCTTTGGCACTTTTTGGTTTTATTTTTTTAGTTTTTTTTCTTTTAACTAGTTTTCCCAAGTTTTTTTTATTGACTAAAATTCTTACCATTATTTTCTTTGCCTTGTTGCCTTAGTTTTTTGTAAAATATTCTTATAGGTTCTCATGAATCATGTTATGACCTAATTTCCTTTTAGCAAAAAAAAAAAAAAAAAAAAAAAAAAAAAAAAAAATAGCAATTTATATATTTTTGACGTCTGCCTGCCTACCTTTTCCATTTAACTATTTACTTCTGCATATCTACAATTTATGGAGAAATACTAATCTTCATAATCCTTTTCTTGACCAGTTTACCATTTACACTTCAGTCTAGTCGCTTTCGTGCGATTCCCCAAGACCAAGGAGTTTAGCTATTAGGAAGTTATGAAAAAATCTTCTACAACAGAGCAAACATTTTAATGAAATTATCTGCTGAGACTATCGATCAGATTGCGATTTATATTAATTTTGTAAATGTGATTGGTATTCGAAATTCGACCTAAGATAAATAAATTTTTTTATTTATTCTTATTACGTTTTTGTCGCTTCTCTCTTTCTCCTTTGTACCGAAGCGATTATTGGATATATGCATAGTATTATGCTAGAGTAGATGGTTGAGAAAATTGGATTATACACTTACTACAAAGATGTATTTAGCATTAAAAGAGAGTAGTTGTGTAACCTAGAATCAAGCTCTAAAGCATTTATAACAATCTGGGATGAGAAATATAAAAGAAAAAAATGCTTTAAAATTGTTTTACTAAGCAATTTTTTTGTACTCTCTTTTTACGCCTTTGTTTTTGTGGAAGACTTTCATTTTAGTTTTATTTCTCATATAGTATTGGCGTTTCCTTGTTTAATTGCTATAACAACTATGAAAAAATCTCTGGGAGAGAATATTATTATGCGAAGGAACGAGTAATGCGCCCACATGTCTTCCGGTGAACGAATGCGTAAAAAAGCACAAAAACATATTGCAAGTGTAAGCCAGATGTTTATTATGTGAGATAAGATTGTATTAAGCTAATGAAAGGCGCAAGAGAATATAAATTTTTTTATTCAGAAAAAAAAATTTTTTTTTCCAAAATGATTTTTTCATTGCATTGTATGGAAATTTTTTTTGAAGATTTCTTTCACTTAATAGCAAACACATCATTCCCAAAGAATGAAGCATTTGTTATAGTTAAATAAGATTTGGTTGTGTCAATAAAAAGCTAAAGACAAACACGTCAGATGTCAATTAGAAAACGAAGCAAGACTGCTGCGAAAATAAATCCTATGACAGGTGGTTGTCCAAGGTACGAAAAAACCAAGAGCCGGCTTATAGCCCTCCCCATCAAGTAAACTCTATAACTTTCATCTATCGACTCGCTGTAATGATAGAGAAGTGTATAGCTACCGATAAAGGAGACATTTTTCTTACTATAGAGTGAAAAATCTTTCGATCTTAAAATTGTCATCGAATAACTTGTTGAAATTACGATCGTGTTTACTGAACATCGGCACTTGTAAACTAGTCCCACACATGTAGCTAATATTTTCAGATACTTAGTGCACTTAACTGTAAGCGCAGAAGCGGGAAGCAAACGAATGTTAAAAGAACGAGTAACGCACTAGAGCTATCCTAATCTTTCAACATGTTTCAATAGTGTTTTGCTATAGTAGGACACGGCCCATCTTTGCTTAGTGGAGTTATTCATACAATTACTTTTCAAAATGCGGTGAGACGTGCTCGAAAAAGTGGTCCGATTCAAACAATTTTGAGCAGGACCCTTCCTTGAACCAAAACACGTATATCACGGAAGTGCCTGGTGAACATAATATGATATAAAACATTTTACTTTTTCGAAGCGACTAGACTAACCGTTTAATTTATATTTAAAAAAAAAACAGCTACTAACGCTCATCCGACTTTTAGTCCTTCCTCCATAGTCATAATCATCTTAAGATCTTTAGGAATTACTTATTGACCTGAAGACTTTTTACTTCAGCTTTGTTCCTACCTAAATTTATGAAGCTTTACCAAAGGCCAAAGGGAAAGATTGGTAGCCAGGCAAGTACTTCGGAGCGCAGTGATAAAGAAAAAGAAAAACATATTCTAATCATTTGGCTATGAATAAATAAAGGAATGAAAATATTTTTCAATATTGAATTTCTTTTTTCTTACCGCTTTTTTATTGAAACTATTATCGTTTTATTTGTTTTCGGTTGAAGTAATAAACAAACACTGACAACGATAGTTCGAATGATGACTAATAACATAGAATTTTTTTACAATAATATTATACACGATAACAGACACAAGATATGCAAAAGAAAAGATCGTCATCTAAAGGCGTTAGAGCGTGCAATACAAAAGTTAAAGAGAATTAAATGAACATAAGTCAAAAGTTAATGCACTTGGCTGAAATGCCGAGCAAACTTGAAAGAAGCATAAATTAATGCTTTAGAAACTGTGTATGTGAAAACATAAAATAAAAGTTAATTGAGAGTTTTTATAATCTTTACAACGGTGGCTTATATCTATATATATATATTTATACATATTAAAAACATCTAAACTAAGGCAAACATCTAAAGTAACTTGAAACAGACGAAAAGTATATAATCATTGCTTCTTCAAGCTGCATTCTTGGTAATAGATATAAAAGTAAGCCAGAGCACCCGGGATACCCAATAAGACAAGTTTTACTTTCATATTTTTTAGCTTTAACAGTAAGCGTAGCATCAATTAACTGTAAATAGCAGTTTGTGTGACTAAGAGTGGAATCTAGTAAATTGAATATATAAATATGGAACTCTTTTGAGCTCTATTTAGTAATTTTCATTGCAAGCAAACTAATTCATAACATTTTTATCCATTTGCCGCACAAAACAAAACTCAAGATTGCTTCACTTGCACACTCCGGCATTATAACCGATAAAGTTTGAATAATAAAAGAAAATGAAGCCTTGGTTATCTTATTATAATTCTTCCCGAGCAGTAGTTTCAATAAAACTGTGCAAAATGCATTTTGTAATAAAACAAGACTCTTAAGCCACGAAAACAACACATAACAAATGCCTTACGACTTGCGAAGCCTTTTTAATATTGCTACGGCTATTAGTTAAATTTCTTTTATGACCTATATAAGTAGCAGCAATGATTCAATGCATTCACCATCAGCATCGTCTATGGTCAGTTTCAATCTAGGCTTTCCGATTACCGCATAAATAAGTCGCATCAAAAAATCAATCGGTCGCAAATTTTTTTTGAAGAATTAATTACACAAAAGCAGACTTGGTAGGATGATGTAGTTCAGGAAATCTTTCCACCTTTATCCTGATATTTATCGCCCACTCTTTCTCTCTCTCTCTCTCTCGCTATGAACCTCTCTACCTTCCTTGCTTCTTTCCTTTGTCCCCTCTTTCCAGCCTTTCTCATTCTCTCACTCTATCTATCTATCTCTATTTCTATCTCTCCTTCTCACTATCAAAGACAATCCCTCTGTCATTCTCTGTCTGCCCAGCGAATACAACTAATAAACATCGATAAAAGTAGAGAATACACTACCCCTTCATCTAGAACAATTCGATTAAAACATTGAACATATAACAATTTCGCTATCATTAGAGCAAATCATATAAATTTTTAAATGCTTTTCCATTGATCATGATAAGGAGGTAAAGACTTGTACCCGGTCTCTTATTTGCAGTCAAATCCTTCTTCTCCACCGCTTCTAATTTTTTTTACAAATATTTAAATCAAATCAATCAACATCTTTTGTAGCGTCTTAACCCGTAATTAAAAACATATATGATTAGAGATCTAAGATTTAAAGAGCAAAGTTTGTTTTTGCCTTCGCCTGGTGTTTAATAAGCCATTGGGCATCGTGGATCTTTATCTGTATGTTCTTCGTTACGAATATAAAGACATCTTTCAACTGTTAAATGACTCTGTCTAGCCAAATTTACATTTTCATGTAATGTTCTAATCATCTTAACTAATGTGGCAGCCATCGCTTAGGCAAGAAATTTACAGTAAGAGGCGTTTACTTTTTGATGAACATTTCGTTTTCATAAATTGTAAGGAAAATGCGTATGAACCGCTCGGGGGGGAAAAAGAAGTTGCAACAAACACATTAGTTTCAAATTGAATTCAAAAGAATTAAAAAACCATTCATGCGTTAAATGTCCTTTACGAAAGTTGCCACATAACACATAGTCGTCGACATTAATACCTATTTTTCGATGAGCTATTATTTATTTATATAGCTTTTTCTTTCCATGTACACTTGTATGTTTTCTCACACATAAATTTTAGAAAAAAAAAAAATATGTCAAAGAAATTTTCAGTTTATTTAACTCTCGGATTACTACACTCTAATTGCGAGCAAAGGTAAAAAATATGCTAAAAGAAACTTTTTTATACCTAAAGCTCGGAAGTATGGCATATATTAATTTAGCCAAACGTTTGCAACACCCACAAGGATAATTCACAAAACCCAAATGGAGCAAATATTCTTA